TACACTGGTCCTTGGAGAACCTCCTCCAGCTTCTTCTTCACTGACCTTGGTGGAGCAGCAGCAGCAAACTGTTTGCTGTTCATTTTTTTGAATACATGTGAATTTCGCACTTGTTTGTTATGTATGTTTTATCTGTGCTTTTGGTTTAATTAGTTGAATTAGCTCACCTCTTCTTTAAACAGCCATTTTAAAAACTCTTTCCAAATCCAGACAACAGCCTTGGCAGTGCATCAGCACACACTTCAATTCCCTGTCTTCAGAAGCCTCTTTGAAAAAAACTGGACACATTTTGTGCACTCAGTAGGTGGTCAATTGCTCTGTTGTTTCCAAGTAAGTTAGTATGGAATTCACTTGTTTTTATCTTTTTTAAATCTTAAGAGGTTAGACAGATGTAGTGCTGGATCCAGCACTTCTCATGCTAGTCAATATTATCTAATTTATTTATGGCATCCTCCCTCTCTATCTAGGTTTTGTGTTCTTTCAGATTATTTCTGGCCTAGCAGTAAAATGTACTTTATATCTGTGTGGGAGAGTCAGACTTTGGTCTGTTGCTGCTACAGTAATGCAACAGATTTTTTTTTTTTACCACAAAGGTAAGGATTATTGATGGCAATGCAGTCATGCGAACAGCTGGATATCCTGGCAAGTCTTAATCTCTTAACTATAATGGGTGACATTCAAGTACAGATCCACATGTTTGTAAGAGTGAGAAAAGCAGTTTGCCTGTAGTGAAGATTTCATGTAATTGAGACTTCTGCTTATTGTCAGTACATGTGGCAGTGTGTTTGTTTCTTTTGTTTGTTTAAAGAGAAACAGTTCTAAGCATGTTCTGATGCAAAAAAAGTTGCCTTCTAAGTTCAGTTGCTAAAATTTTGCATACAGATTTTATGTAAACTCTAGCTTTACTTCTTTATAATTTATATTATCTGAAGCTCGTTGTGGACTATTGCCAATGCATCATCAGGAAGGTTGGGTATTTTAGTCTTAGGACTGCTGTTCTCTGGACAAAGGATGGAGTACTAAAACTACTATGTCTGCGGTACTGTACTTCTTTCTGACAATAGCTGTCCAGAATTTTACCTGTGAAACTGAATATGCTTCAATTTGAACATTAGAACTTTTCTTGGAAATGGCAGGTACTACTGTCAAGCTTCTGACAGTCTGAATTCATAGGAAAATAGGGTGTTCTGTAGTTGTTTTGTAAGTATGAAGGAGCTTAAGATACTGAAAAAATATCTTTATGGCTGATTTTATCTAAAAATGGTTATGTGTCATATCACAATATTTTTATAGAAGACACAAAAGAAATAGGAGTAATAGGAAAAGTTTGGGGAGTATTAGCAAAGGAAATGTAAGACTTGACTCTTCTGTGATTAAATCAGGCTTTGGATTATGCGCCCAGCTGAGGTCAACCTGCACATAATTACACTGTCTGCTGTAATGCTTTTAAAGCTTTTTGAACAAAATAAAAAAAATACGGAAGACAGAAATAATCTTTGTTATATAGTTCAAATATATGTGCTGTTAAACTTTTTTTAAAAAGTGTTTCCTGCTAGTTAGAGTGTATCTGCATAATAGTTGCCTAAAATATATGGATTCATTTAGTTGTGAACAATGTAACATCTGTGAAACATGATTCTTAAAATAAATGCAGCATTCAATGGGTATAGAGCTAGTCAGGCCTGTACAGGATGTTACTCTACTCTCCTCCACCCACTTCTTTAAATAATGTAATTTAAAAATTGTGAAAGTAAAAAATTCATACTGAGACTGTTGAAGTAAATGAGCAGTAACACTGAATGTCTTTGTTGAGAATTAGTCTTCACTGGAGCATAAAACATGCCACAAAAATTGTTCATGTATTTTATGCCAACACCTTGAAAACTGCCTGGCTTTAATGTTCTGGGTTGGTCTAGACGCTTGGCTAGGTACTCATTTGTAGTAGTACCTATTGCCTGTGAGAAAATGGGAGCATACAGAATCAAACCACCTGTGAGTCCATGGAGGGCGTGATTTCCATTATGACATTAATTCTGTGCTAGTCCCAGCATCCCAGGTATCTAGTAATTTGAATACTATCTGGATGGCAGCCAGCTAAAAAAGTGCTTTCAGCTAACTTTGATGTGGAACAGGAAAGCTCCATCAGACTGCATTGTAATGGGAGGTACTCTGTACAGCCAGTTTTGCACCATCTGTTTCCCATGTCAGTGTCCCTTCCTGACTGGTGGCAGTTAAGCACCTGCACTCTTCATCGGGCTTAAAAGTCTCCATCTAGAAGTAGAATCAGAGCTATTGGTCTTCTGTTCATACCACACTGGGTTGTTGAAGCCGTGGTGATTGGTTATGCATTCCAGTTCTAGAATGTGAGAGAGAATAGTTCTCTATTCCTTTAAACCATTTATACAGAATCATCTATGTCAGAGAAAACCTTTAAGATCACCAGGTCCAATCATTAATGTCACACTGCCAAACCCACTGCTAAACCATGCCCCTAAGTGCTACATCTACTCACCTTTTAAATACCCCCAGGGTTGATGACTGAGCCCTTTGCTGTGCAGTCTGTTTCAGTGCTTAACAGCTCTTTCTGTGAATAAATTCTTCTGCTATTCATTCTAAACCTGGCACAATTTGAGGTTATTTCCTTTTGTCCTGTCAGTTGTTGCTTGGGAGAAGAAACCAATCCCCACATGAGTACAAGGTTCAGTTGAAAAAGCAGTCACCAATAGAGACAAACTGTACATTTAGTGAAGGAATAACACTCCATTAGGATTAACCACATCAACCTCCAGCCTGCATTAGGCAGGATTAGGGAAGAGGGTTGGCAATGGTATTTCCAAGTGCTATATTAGCTGTACTGTCTTATTTCTCTTTGTTTAATAACCTCTGAGTTGATTTTTATAGTTAGTTCTTATAGTTAAGGTGAGCTTCCCTGTAAGCTGATCTACTTCTCTTTGATTGGATATTTGCTTAAATACACTTCTTCAAGTAGGTTTTAAGTGAGCTATTGTACCTTTTTGACAAGTGCTGTATCTAGAAATCACATTTAGTTTTTTGTAGGTCTTTCCCTCCATCTCTCTTCTCGGGGAAAGACATGTTGTAATAGAACACTATAGTTTCTCTGCTTCCTGCTTCCCTGATATATTTTTATTTATTTAGGCTAATCTTATAAAACTTTCTCTCTAGACAATTCACCAGTTCTGTGAAAGGCACCTTAGTGCCTTTCCTGTAATGAGGCACCCAAAGCTGAACACAGTATTCAAGCTTCATGTGCAAGACTAGGGTTTTTCTTTAAAATAGGGTCTGAATAGATGGGTGGGTGTAATGAGGCTATATGTAACAAGTACGCTCAGGCTGGTTGCTTTCCTATCTGTTTTGAAGAATTGAAGAATACCCCTGTTGAATAGCTCATTGACCTTTGCAGTAAACCACATAAAATTATACTCTTTGGTTTCTAAGTAATTTTGCAGGTTTGATTATGTCTTTTTCTGGAATGGCAGGTTAAATGAAATTTTGTTCCCATTTTCTCTCAGAAAGCCCTCATTAGTAACAGGAAGTGGATTCTGCATGCATTGTTGACTTAGGGATGAATAATGGAAGTTTATATTGTGTTAATAGTTAAAGAATAAATATATATATATAATTCTACATTAAGTGGTTATGAATAACCTGCCCCCACTTTGGTGTTTTTTTTTAAATGGAAGTTTGGTATTTTTGAAGGAAAAATTAGGATTTTTTTATATGCCGAAGGTAATTACAAAGCCACTATGAGCATCTCTGCATTCTGATCTGCATCATCTCTCTGACTTCCTTTAGTGCTTTAAAGGTGGAGTTACAGAGATGTTCTAAAACAAACTTTCCATTACGATGAACGACATTTTTCATACTCATTCTGGTTACTGAAACACAGTTAGCTATACAGAGGGTATTTCACGGGTCGCTTAGCATCCAACTTGAATGAGCAGATAGAAGATTTATTCCACAATGTTCCTGACCTTTGTTAAGTTTATTTAAACTTGGACTGTGAATATATTCTTATGAGATGATAATATAAAAGAGACTTTGACTTAGAAAATTATATAAGAGGGGAATTAATATCAGACAGTCTTGTCTTTGTAAATACATTAAGTATTCCACATGTCTATATGCGATTAATTTTTATTAAACAACTAAATACTTTTTATTAGAAATGGTGAAAGGTTTCCAGCACCATGTGATGTCTGCTCAGATGCAAAATGAACATCTATAATAAAAAAAAATCATACATTGTAGCTAGTTTGTACAAGTGAATTTTCTGCTTCATAAGAACTAAAAGAACAGACTGACTTTGATGTTGTACTTTCTTACATTAATTAAAATAGTTTTATACTAAGTATTTTTTGAAGATTATAATGCTTAGGTAATTCCCATTGTAAAAATAAAATTAATGAAAAGTTCATACATTTGAAGTTTTGTGATTGAACTTTCTATGAAATTTTGTTTCTTATAAGTTACTCTCGGTCTGAGGCTACACTGATGCAGTGGGGGCTGTGTGGATCTAAAGAACAGACTGACAAAAAACCGCAAAACCCAAACACCAAAAATTCACAAATTTATAGGAAGTTCAAAATGCAACTTCTCTTTTTGTCCCCTTGTCTAGCACTGCTCTGATACCCAAAAGTGGGAAGTGTCTGAGGTAGCATACCTGATCACTACATTATAAATTGTTGTGCTAAGTTGCTTTTTCTACTGCCTTTGTGCTCATATTCATTATCTTCCAGAAATTTTTGGAAATTAAAAAATCAGTCTGAGTGCTGCTCAGTCAAGGTTATCAGAGATGTGCTCATACTTAACTGGCTGAATTGAAGATATATTTTGGGGACTGAGATTGTTTTGTTTATTTGCTTGGTGATTTTGTACAAAGGGGAAGATAATAGGATAGGCTAAAAAATGTTTCTTTAATTACTTTCACTTTTAGAGGGAGTGTTCCAATATTTGCATTAAAACTTGTACTTTTTCTGCAGCTTCTGGAAAAACATAAGAACACAGAAAGTATGGTAGAGCTCCTTGAATTGTACCAAATGGAAGATGAAGCCTACAGTAATCTTGCAGAAGCGACCACGGAGCTCTACCAGTACTTACTGCAACCATTCCGAGATATGAGGGAACTTGCGATGCTTAGAAGACAGCAGATAAAGGTAGGGTAAAGGCAACTGAGATTCTTATTAATTGGGAAGTTCTACTTTTTAGTTCCTATTTACTAGTTCTGTTACGCAGTATATGAAGTGATATTTTTCCACTAGATGCTGACCTTATTTTTTCTGGGCCCTTCACTCAGATGGATGCTTTTGATGAGAGAGAACGTCTGACATATGTAGCTAAACACCACATGTTTATCTTACTGTCTTACCCTTCAAATGCATGGCTGAATTAATTAGGTCAGACTTAAAATTTTGTGGTTGCTGGGAATATTGAGTAATATATAAAATACATAAAAAAGAGATATGTAGTATTTATACTGTTACTAATTTTAGAAGATTGCATAGCTACTTCTCATTTTAGTTTCCTGAGATAAACTGGTGAACTGTGGAAAGTCATTACCTTTTTATCTGATGTTGCAAGACTTAAACACATGGAACCATATTAGAATACGTTATTTGTTGTAACGCTTGGACAATATATTTTTGTAAGAGCTAGAAAACCCATCTGAAGAATACTGCATTTTGGTAAAATAGTTCCAGAATAAGTATGTTTGTTATGTTTGAAAGTAATTCTAATCTTGAATGCTTAACCAAAACTAGAAAATGTTACCTTTATTGCTTCTTGGAAGTATTTTTGATAAAATTATTAGTTCCTGGGCAGATAATTAAGACTGCAGCATTCTGATTCTAAGCTAAAAGTTTGTTTCATTTAATCTGTATTGTAAATGTAATTTTATCTCAGCTTGACACCTTGTTCAATTAGCCAACAATTTTTTTACTGTTTGCAGCTTGAAAATAGTGTTCCTCTCTGGTTTTAAGGAAGAATGAGGGAAGGAGGCAGAAGGATTTATGATGTACTAGTTTTATTTTGACATATTGCTGTGTGCCTAAAGTAATTTTTCAGAAAAATCGGCAATCTTAAATCAACTCAGTTTTATAATGTGGTGATGTTTTAAGTAAAAGTGCTTTTTCTTCTCTTGAATGATAAATGTTGTTGCACAGAGAATTGGCATGAATTTTTTTTCAGCTGTATTATACAGTTGAAGCCTATAAACACTACATTTATTAAAAAGCTTTCTTCAAAGCATGGTGAAATAATTCCCATTTGATTTGAATTTGTGGTAGAGGAAAAGATGATTTGTTTGTTCTTTTGTCAAATAAGAGAAGTAACTATTACAATGAGTAGAAACACATATTGAGAGTTGTGTTGTGTTTTGCTCTGTTTTGATTTTTTTAAAACTCGGTAATCTCTTGAATTCTAGTTTTAAAATGCATAATTTCGTATTCATCCTGAAAGAGTAACGTTGATAAACTTCAGAGGTGTGTTCTGTGGTTGATTATTTTAGTTGTACTTAATTTCTTCTAATGTACATTGTGTTCTCTTTCTAACTTGGCAATTTTTGAGTTAAAAACTTGCTCATTTGTATAATGCAGTAGAGAAAGATGCCTTCTCTTGTTTTTCCTTTCATCATTTGAGAGAAAGCAGTACTTGTATCTATGATGACAAAACATATATTATACTGGGTAGCTAGGGTTGAAGAAATGTTTTATAAATAGTACATGTGCATGAAATGGTTTGTATTAACTTGCTGCATATGTTTTTCTGGCAGGCTTTCATGTTTTAGACCTTTTCTGTATTAGGTATCTGTTTCTGATTTGTGGGGAAGTTGTTTTTGTTTGGTTTTGTTGGGTTTTTTGGGGGGTTATTTTTTTAAGAATTTGGGAGGTTTCAAGTATTTTAATCAGCTTAATTTTGTCAGTTTTCATAGTGAGTTTAGAAGGAAGTTAATTACATTATCTGTAATCTAAGAGAAGAGTGTTTTCTGCTTTTGGAGCAAGACATAAAAATTGGAATATATGTCATCTGGTGTTAAATTTCTGCTGTTCCTGTGAAATTTTAAGGATGAGACAAGACGAGAGGCGGCAAGGGAAAAACAAAAACTAAATCGTGTCTGTTCAGTGGAGGCTTATTAGAGAGGGACATCTGTATTGTATCCAGATTCCTTCCTTGGAAAAAAACCCCACCAAACAATGAACCACAAACCAAACAACCCAAAATGAAAGTTCATAACAAAGTTAAAAACCATGTGGAAGCTTGGAAATGTAGATTACTGTTTGTAATTGTACTTGTTGTAATTGGTTACTTGTTTTGTAATGTTGCCCATTACATTGTTTCATTTTATATTTTGATTGTATATTAATTTTTCAGGTGTATTTTTCTTCATTTAGTGTAAAGGATGGAACATTTAGGTATGCGAGAAGTCAAAGGTGTTTGTGAAGTACTTAAATATTTCTGGATTTGAAAAACAGAATGAAAAATGTATAAGATCATGAAAGGAAAGAAGGGTGGGTTGTTATGAAATGAAATGTCACTGTGGAAAAGTAACTTCTAATGGCATTTTTGCTTAATTATGGGCTAGTCATCTAGAATGTGTTCAGTAAGTGATACGCTTCTCTTTTTTTTTGGGCTTCCAGCATCAGAAACCTGGTTTTGTTTCTATGAATGCTCTTTATATATAAGTGCTGCTCAAATCCATGAGGACTTCTCTCCAAGTATGACAAGATGCTTACCAAATACCATGCATTCTTGAAAGTGCTGAGTACTGCAAGCACAGTTGTGTTTTGGACTTAAATCTTTTTATATATTATAATGGGGACGACCCTGCTCACCCCAAGGCCTTTTATGAGGGACAAAGAAATAAAAGCCAAGTTGTAATGAATGGTATTATCAAATTGAGAAATGCCTATCAAAGAAGCAAGTTTGTATTAATTTCAAGATGAAAGTGTGATACATTTAGTACACATAGTCTGTGTGGTTAATATCTATTTTGTAAGGTAAATGTGAAAAGTTGTATTGATAAGCCAGCCAAACAGTCCATATGTTCACTGAATGCTGGAGAAGGCATAATAAAGGAACTGAAGACAGTATTATATTTTATGTATATGTAAAAGCTGGGCTGAACTTGTATAGGCATTTTCTGATTCAGTTATGGACTGTTGCTGGTATAGTTGTAATAATATGTAAAGGCATTCAAGCAGTGAGTTTTAGCATGTTAATTTCACCATATGGTTACCGGACCTTTTCTTCTGATTTTGGACTCTCGCGTATTATATAGGCACCAGGCAAGTGAAGCTTGATATTCATATGCTGTGTTACATGTTTTGGGCTGTCTGTGTATTCTTCCAAGAACTGGGAAGACAACTGTGAACATAAAACCACAGCACAAACAATGTTCATAGATTATTTTATCTAGCATTAATGTTGAATTTTAAATGGAATTTAAGATACTCTTTTTGCTAAGAATCAGACTACTTGGGAAGAAATGGTGTTATATTTTTGATTCTAGAAATGTTTCACAGTTATGCCCACAAATTTTTCCTTAATCAAAATAAATAATTTCCCTGTGAAAATTTTGCTTATTTTTCATGTGTGCAGAACAACATTGCCATAGCAAAAAAGTGGGAGGTAGTAGGCATCAATAGCTGGAAATAAAAAGGCTAAGTGTTTCTGAAATTTGGAAAAATCCAAGTATGCACCTCTACTGGTGCCTTTGATTTCGTAAAGTCAAATCTAAGCTTTGTGAGATCCTCCATATTTAGTGCTGTATTCTTCAGAATTTATGTAAGGGACTGTCCAGTTAGTGGTTGATACTTGGCTATAGAACTAGAGGCCAGGTTACTGTGATCAAGCTTTAAGTCCTTTAAGACTAAGACATGAAGGTTTCTTTCATACATAAATCTGTATATACCAAATCTGGTTATTTAGAAAAGAAAAAAAAAAGTGTATTTCAAAAAATTATTTCGTAGGCAAAACCCCAAAGCCTTTTTTGTCCATACATCTGTGTTCACCAGTCTTCATACAGACAAAGAAACTACCTTGCTACTTAGAATTTTTATGGCCTTGTAGTTGTGGACAGTACTTCACAGTCATGATGAATAGGCACTGGGTTTGATCAAATGCCAAGTGAAATCAGTGGGAGGCCTTCTCTTTTCATGCTTGAGGGTTTTTTGGATGTCCTTGATATTGGACTGAAGATAAAATGTAACAAATTGCTTCACAACTTACATGTAGATGCCAGCAAAACTTCAAAACATGCATTCTTGACGGTCTGAGTTGAACTGGTTTTGCTTAACTGAAAACGGATAATATCTCATTACGGGTGAAGGCCTAGAGCCACCATTACATCTGAGCTCATCTCCAGGAAATGAGAACATTGAAAACTTATCATATGTTAAGTATATTAAACACACTTATAGCTTCATTGCTTATGTGTTAATTAGTTGTACTTACATGTTAGTTCACGTAAATGTGAGGAGATTTTAAGAACTTCAAATACATTAATGTTGAGGTCTAGCACTGGACGTTAGAGATTAGAGCAGTGTATATGTTGATAGCTCATAACATTCTGCTTTTAAAACTTTTGGAATCTTTTATTGATCTGTCTGAAGGTTTGCTTCCCTCAAACTCTCTTACTCAGATTCTGGTATGTTAAAAATACAGTTCTGGCTCAACTGTATGTGGATTTGTTTGTTTAATATATGGCGGTGAATTGCAGTAGCGGACTTCATTACTGATTTAACTTTAATTTACACAAAATTAAGTACTTAGAAATTAATTACATTGTACTGAACATGTAAAATTTTGGTTGAAAATAGTTTCATGAATTATGAAACAAGTTCAAGGGAGAAGAAATTTTCTGATGAGAACAGCTGGAAAAACTGAGATAATTACTTTAAAAATAACAGAATTTAAAAATTACAGAGTATCTTTTTTAAAAATTCTCCAGTGACATAAAGATGTTTTGGAGAAACTGTGAAACTTCAAAAAATTTTTAACTTTTTTTTTTCTTACCTATTTGTCGCTGGAAGTGTGTCCTCACATCATCAGGAATAATACTTAAATATTAACGTAGCTCTTGAAAAACCTGTAGACTGGAGAAGATATCTAAGTTTATGTAAAATGGTCAGAAACTTTGTGGAAAATATTGTGTGCTTGT